GAAAAGAGATTTAATCTCCAAACACGGAAAGAGCTGTGAAAATGTTGGATAGACTCCCTTAAAAGTTAGTTCTTGCCAGCTCATTGGATTGCTTTAAAAAAGGCCTGGATTCTTTCCTAGATACACAGAATATACCTGTATAACAACATTTATAGGTAAAGCTGATCCAGGGAATATCCAATTGCCTCTCGGGGGATCAGGAAGGAATTTTGTTTCCCTGCAGGAGCAAATTGAATCATGCTTTGCTGGGTTTTTTTTGCCTTCCTCTGGATCAACTGTGGGTATAGGATTATAACTTGTTTTTTTTGTTTATTTATGGTTGAACTGGATGGACTTTTGCTTTTTTTAGCCAGACTATGTAACTATGTAACATCGTACCTCTATGCTTAAATTTTAATTGACATCAATTACAATATGTTTAATCTGCACTAGAGGACTTTGTGTCCTTTATAACATTGCCATTCTGACTGGGTGCTTCACCATGCCAAACTGCATTAAACCACTGGGTGGCATGGATAATATGGTACAGTGGGGATCGAAAGTTTGGGCACCCCAGCTAAAAATTTGTATTAATGTGCATAAAGAAGCCAAGGAAAGATGGAAAAATCTCCAAAAGGCATCAAATTACAGATTAGACATTCTTATAATATGTCAACAAAAGTTAGATTTTATTTCCATCATTTACACTTTCAAAATAACAGAAAACAAAAAAATGGCATCTGCAAAAGTTTGGGCACCCTGCAGAGTTAATATCTTGTACTGCCCCCTTTGGCAAGTATCACAGCTTGTAAACGCTTTTTGTAGCCAGCCAAGAGTCTTTCAATTCTTGTTTGAGGTATCTTTGTCCATTCTTCCTTACAAAAGTCTTCCAGTTCTTTGAGATTTCTGGGCTGTCTGTCACGCACTGCTCATTTAAGGTCTATCCATAGATTTTCAATTACGTTGAGGTCAGGAGATTGTGAAGGCCATGGCAAAAACCTTCAGTTTACGCCTCTTGATGTAATCCCCTGTGGATTTTGAGGTGTGTTTAGGATCATTATCCATTTGTAGAAGCCATCCTCTCTTTAACTTCAGCTTTTTCACAGATGGCATCAAGTTACCATCCAAAATTTGCTGAAATTTTATTGAATCCATTTTTCCTTCTACTCGTGAGATGTTCCCTGTGCCACTGGCTGCAACACAACCCCAAAGCATGATTGATCCAACCCCATGCTTAACAGTTGGACAGAGGTTCTTTTCATTAAATTCTGTGCCCCTTCTTCTCCAAACATACCTTTGCTCATTCCGGACAAAAAGTTCAATTTTAACCTCATCGGTCCACAGAACTTGTTTCCAAAATGCATCAGGCTTGTCTATATGTTCATTTGCAAAGTTCAAACGATGATTTTTGTGCTGAGTACGTAGAAGAGGTTTTCTTCTGATGACTCTTCCATGAAGACCATATTTGTACAAGTATCTCTTTATAATGGAATAGTGTACCACAACTCCAGTGTCTGCCAGATCTTTCTGGAGGGATCGTGCAGTCAAACGTGGGTTTTGAATTGTTTTTCTCACAATCCTGCGAGCTGTTCTGTCTGATATTTTTCTTGGTCTTCCAGATCTTGCTTTAACTTCCACTGTTCCTGATGACTGCCATTTCTTAATTACATTCCGAACAGAGGATATTGACATCTGAAAACGCTTTGCTATCTTCTTATAGCCTTCTCCAGCTTTGTGAGCGTCAACTATTTTCAGTTTCAGTTTTCTAGACAACTGCTTAGAAGAACCCATGGTGCTGATTGTTGGGGCAAGGTCAGATGAGTCTGGGCATTTAAAACCTTTGAGATTGACATCACCTGGTCTTCCCAGACGATGATTGAGAACAATCCATGACACTGGCAGGTCTCAGCTTGGCAAAGGGGGGCAGTGCATGCTATAAATTCTGCAGGGTGCCCAAACTTTTGCAGACGTCATTTTTTTGTTTTCTGTTATTTTTGAAAGTGTAAATGATGGAAATAAAATCTAACTTTTGTTGACATATTATAAGAAAGTCTAATCTGTAATTTGATGCCTTTTGGAGATTTTTCCATCTTTCCTTGGCTTCTTTATGCACATTAATACAAATTTTTAGCTAGGGTGCCCAAACTTTCGATCCCCACTGTATATCTGCATCAACATACACTATTTACACATACAGGTCTGTGGACTCCTTACCATCATACCAATATATGCATACTCCAGATTCTATTCCAAACACATGAGTTTCCACCTCCTTTTTGGATATAACAGCATCCACTCTTCTGGGATTGCTTTCCACAAGATTTTCGAGTGTGTCTGTGGGAATTTGTGTCCATTCACTTAAAAGAGCATTTCTGAAGGGAGTTACTGTTGTTGGATGAGAAGACGTGGCTTCTAGTCATTGTTTCATTTTTATCCCAAACGTTTGCAGTAGGGTTGATGTAAGTATTCTGTGTGGACCATTTAGATTCCTCCACACCAAACTCATCAAATCATGTTTTCATGGAGCTGGTTTTGTGCACACAGACACAATTATGCTTGAACAGAAAAGGGCTTTCCCCAAAATGTGGTCATAAGATAGGAAGCATGCTATTGTCTTTGTATAAATAAACAATGTTAAATCCTCACGCTTGGATAATATAAAGTCAGACTGCTTCACTGAGGAACCCTGAATAATGGATTCTAAAGCATACAAACAAAATAAACTAGTGCCCTGTCTCTTCAAAAACTCATACAAACATCTAGTTAATACTAAAATCCACACAAACATTGTGCAAAAAGTGATACAGTGATATACGATCATAAATTGTTCCCACTAAGCAATTATCAAACTTCAAATGAAAGTGAAAATCATTCAATCAATTATTAAAGATAATCTAAATATACAGTTATTGGCAAAAATTTTGGCACCCCTGTATTTCTGTCAGATAATACACCACTTTGCTCAGAAAATTGTTGCAATTACAAATGTTGAGGCATTCTCATGTTTATTTCTTTTGTTTGTATTTATAAAAAGCCAAATCTGACACATTCCACGCAAAACCCCAAAAATGGCTGGACAAAATTATTGGCACCTTCTTCAAATTGTAAGAAAAAACTGCATTCCAAGTTTGTGATGCTGCTGTAATTTGTAATTAAACTCACCTGTATCAAGTAACCGATACTAATGTCCCTGTGTCCACTGTGAGCAACATTGTCAAGAAGTTTATAGCCCATGGCACTGTAGCTAATCTTCCTGGACATGGACAAAAGAGAAAAACTTGATCAAAGATGGCAACGAAGGATTGTTGAATGGTGGATAAAGAACCTCATTCAACTTACAGACAAATTCAAGCTGACCTTTAGGCACATGGTACAACTGTAAGCTCACACTATACGTCACAATAAGCCAACATTCTTTTGGGAGAATGTGCTGTGGACAGACAAAACAAAAATGACAGCTTTTTAGTAAAGCCCATCATTCTACTGTTTTCAGAAAAAGAAATGATGCCTTTAAAGGAAAGAATACAGTCCGTAAGTCAAACATGGTGGAGGTTCACTGATGTTTTGGGATTGCTTTGCTGCTTCAGGCACTGGATGTCTTGACTGTGTGCATGGCATCATGAAATCTGAAGACTACCAAAGAATTCTGGGGTGCAATGTAGGGCCCAGTGTCAGAAAATTTGGGTCTCTGTCAGAGGTCATGGGTCTTCCAGCAGGACAATGACCCAAAGCATAAGTCAAAAAGCACCCAGAAATGGTTTCATACAAAATGGAAGAGTACTGAACTGGTCAGCAATTAATCCAGATTTCAATCCCATAGAGCACCTGTGGGGAGATCTCAAAAAAGCAGTTGGGAAAAGGAACCCTTCCAATCTGAGAGACATGGAGCAGTTGGTGAAAGAAGAGTGGTCCAAAATTCCAGTAGAGAGGTGGAAGAAACTCACTGATGGTTACGCTAAGTGATTGATTTCAGTAATTTTTTTCCAAGGGGTGTGCTATCAAATATTAAATTGAGGGATGCCAATATTTTGTCCAGTCCATTTTGGGGGTTTTGCGTGGGATGTGTAGAGATTTGGCTTTTTGTTTCTCCACGTTTTGTGTCATACCAATACAAACAAAAGAAATCATTATGAGAATGCCTAAACATTTATAATTGCAACAATTTTCACGGGCGAAGTGGTGCATGCATCTGGCAGAAATACAGGGGTGCCAATATTTTTGGCCATGACTGTATCATATAAAGTCCATTCAGGTGCTCTTGAGAAAGTGCCAAGTGCTTGCATGCCAAAAAAGTGCTTCAGTGTGTGTGCATATATCACCCAAAAAGATGAGCTTCTTACCAGACCAAGTTGATCTCTAAACAGTGATCAATAGCACTTGGATGGCTGAAAGAGACAGGTATTCACATCACCGACACTTTCGTTCCTCCAGTGACTCCATTAGTAAAAAACAGCAGCTGTGTCTCCACTCAGTTTCACTCTGGGAACTCATCCACAAAGGTATATAGTATGTGCAGAGAAGGAGAGACTACTCATAGCGCAACATGTACCAACTAAAATATTTATTTATAAAAGAATTGCACTTACAAACAATGAAAGATTCAAGCGGTATTCTCAAACATAGAGCGGGCCGCGGGACCCTCTGGCTAACTCATACGTGCTTAGTTAGTTAGACTGGACTTCCACTTTAATATCACTTTAAAGTTTAAAGTGTTACTAAACCCAGGACCCTGCATTCACTATATCTGGCCTCCCTGGACCCTGCGTTCACTATATCTGGCCTCCCTGACCCTGCATTCACTATATCCGCTCTCCCTGGACCCTGCATTCACTATATCTGGCCTCCCCGGACCCTGCATTCACTATATCTGGTCCCACAGTACACAGAACATGGAAGTGCAATTATTTTAGTAAATATAAACTGCTAAATACCTTTTTCTCATCAGCAGTTAGAGCAGTCTTGTGACTTCTATCAGTCTCCTGCAGAGCACATGTTAAAGCTTGTAGGAGGAGTTTTCTTTTTGCTCTAGGAGGATGCCGGACCCCCTGACCTGTGTCCGGACAGTGTTGATTGGGCCTGTGCTGATCACATGCACTCTCCAAAGAAAACAAAAAAATCTCTCTAGCAATACACCAAACTGTGCATGTGCAGGGTGACTCCACAGATATGCCTTATCATGAGATAGGAGGGGGGGCACTGGAAGGGGGAGGCTCATAGAAGTCAAGATCAAACAGCCTTTTTACACAATACAGAAGATTAACCCCTTAGGTTCCACAGTGAGAGTATAACAAGCATGCTTTACTGCATATACAGGCTGATTTTACTCTTGTGGGTTTAGTAACACTTTAAATCCAGCAGAAATAAAAAAAACACCAGTTAATGAAGCTCTGTTTTCATCAATATACTCGTACATTTATTTTTTAAATGTAAGCAGGGTAAGCCCCTGATTTCACCTGGCACCTCAGTACAAGGAAACAGTCAGATGTGCTGGAATGCTTATGCATGCTGACAGAAGGACAGAGCAGATTGACAAATAAATGAACTCATCAGACTGCTGATTCTCTTTTTACTGACCAGTCACAGGGTGTGGGACAGACAAGACCTATAAGTATTACTGAACTGCAAGAGCAAAAGATAAGGTCTCCTCCCCTGCCAGGTAGGACTGTGATGTGGGGCAGAGCTGTGTAAATCTCTGGACTGAATGGACAGAAATACAAATCTTTTGGCAGACAAAACAGCTCTCTTCTATGTTTATTATGCTGGAATTTAGCTTTAAAACCTTTGTATATGATGGAATGATATACTTATCTAATACCCTTATTTATTTAATTTTTTTTTGGGGGGGGGGGGGTGGTAGGGGGGGGCACATGGTTTTTTCAATTTTTACATTGTGTGCAACAATGCTTCACCTGACTCTAAAGAGGATTTTTTCGTGCCTCTTAGGGTGCAAATCAGCTATCTCTTACCTAAGCAAGTTTCTGTCCAGTAGGGTGTAATGCACTTATCCACTCACTGGAGGGAGAAAATGTCAAAGTTAACAAAACGCTACAACTTTGTTAACGCGGCACAGGCTGGGTAATGTAATGTGCTCAGTTTTTGTGTCAGCAGCTGACAATTTATCCTTTTAAAGAGGCCCTGGCTCCAGAGGAGCTTTGAAGCAGATGAAATTGAAGTAGAAATGAAAAATCACTCAATCTGTGCTCAGGGTATTGTGACACTGGCCTGTGATTAGAATACCGAGGCGCGAGCAGCGCACAGAATAACCACAGCTTACTGGAACAAAACAATGCTTATTCAATATAAATGGAACAAATGTCCTTTAACTCACAGAATCTTGTTAGATAAAGCAAGACAGGAAGATGAAAGTTGGCATCTGATGGGTGATCCTAGCTTAAACTAGAACTCACCTAATAAAGAGGAGTAGTGTCTAAGGCCCTGGTGCCCAACCTGTGGCCCGATGGCCACATGTGGCCCCTCTGGCACTTTTTGTGTGGCCATCAGGGCAGAAACTAATATGTGTGTTTCCCTACTGCCATGTTATATAGTGACTTTTAGCAGCCCCATGTAATAAATCTCTAGTCCAGGGCTTCAAGAGTGAGGGCCACTTGTGCACCTTTGGAACATGTTACATGTTCCATCCGTTTTTAGAGTGAAACGTGTAACATGTTCCCATAGCTGCAACCGCGCCCCCCCCCCCCCCCCCCCCGACAGATAGTACGGGAAGAAATGTCCCATACCATCTGTTAGATTATAAAACAGTGCGCACACACGGCCACGTCACTCATTTACAGTGTTTTGTGAATGAGTTCCTACAAGTCCTGGCAGCCTTAGCGGCCGTGTGGGGCTTGTGTCGTTTTCAATGAACTGGTAGTTCATTGAAGCTTACTGTCAGTTTAAGTAATTTGGTAACTGGTTGGGGGCCACAATGAAATGAAATGTTTCAGAATTTCCAATTTTTTATTTTGAATAGCATAATGAAAAGTTTCCTCCTGCAGCCGCTGAATGCCGGCGGGAGAGAGAGAGGAGGAGAAGGCATATTTCAGCGGTTGCAGGAGAAAAATTGAGAGGATTGCTCCCTGTATATGCTGCCACTTCTGTCCAAGTGTAAAACAGAATGTGACAGGGAGGCTACATGGGCTCCCTGGAGCATGGGGGGGGGGGGTTGCCATTGTGACCCCCGGATACTACATTAGTGGTTGGGGGTGGTTTGGTAAAAACACATCTATGGGGTTTTGTCACCCACCCAAAACACAAATGTAAATGAGCCCTTACTGTCCTGGACCTCCTATAAAACTGCTTTCGCACTGATCCACATATGCAGCGTAGTGCTCCTGTGGCTTTCCTGCAGGTAAGCTGCAGTTTGCCAAAGACTCCAACTATACGAGGGGCGTTTAAGTCAAACTGAGACTTTTGAGTTTAATAAAAGAACATATTTCAAGGAGTAGAAACTGCATTTATTTGTTGCCATACTCCCCTGCTACATTTATACACTTTCCCCCAGCATTTAACTAATCCCTGTAAAGCTTCAGCATAGAAAGATTTGTCGGTAAGCCTGACCCATCCTAGGACAGCCAGCTTCACTTCGTCATCATTGTGTTCACTATTCCCACAGAAAGATTCATCTCTTGTGCAATTTCATGACAGTTATGCATCAATTATCCAGGATCAGATGTTCACAGGAAAGACTGCTGTGGGCTGGGAACCACCTTGAACAAGATCGTCACTGATAGATGTACGGCCATCTTTAACCACATACCGCCCAGCCACTGTAGAAATACAGCGGCAGGGGGCGGCACGGCTGGGCAAAACCACGTTTTAAAACGTGTGTTTTCAAAACAGGTAGGGGGCAGGCGCAAGGCGCGCGCCGCCGCCCTACCTGTCCCCGCCGATCACGGCCGTGGATGTCAGTCGCCAGGTCACAGCCGGTCGTTATCGGCTATTTCCCGGTGATTAGCGCCAATCACTGACAGAGAGCAGAGCTGCAGTAGCTGTGCTTTCTGTCAGTTCCCTGACAGCTCCTGACAGCTCCTGACACGCTGATCGGGACAGAAGAGTTTATCTGTCCGGATCAGTGTATCTACGGGCAGTACACACCCCCGCCCCCTAGTAAAACACTCCCCTCACACAGTTAACCCTTTCACTGAATAATAAAGTTAACCCCTTCCTCCCCAGTGCCATTAGTACAGTGTCAGTGGTTTTTTTTGCACTGATCACTGTATTGGTGTCACTGGGGATGTCAGTGACCCCAAGTCAGTTCCCCCCCAGTGTTAGAATGTCCGCCGTAGTCCCGCAGTCCCGCCACAAGTCGCTGATCGCCGCCATAAGTCACTGATCACCGCCATAAGTCGCTGATCGCCGCCATTATTAGTATAAAAAAGAAAATTAAAAATCCCAGTATCTATCTGCCATTTGTAAACGCTATAACTTTCACGTAAACCAATTAATTTACACGTATTGGCGTTTGTTTTAGCAAAGACATGTCGCAGAATACATTTTGGCAGAAATTTATGACTAAATTTGATTTTAAATTTTTTTTTACTGGACATGTTTTATAGCAAAAAGTCCAAAATATTGTTTTTTTTCCTCAAAATTGACAAACTTTTTTTTTTTTATAGCGCAAAAAATTAAAAACACACAGGCAATCAAATACCACCGAAAGAAAGCTCAATTTGTGGGAAAAAAAGGAGGTAAATTTCATTTATGTACCGTATTGCATGACCGCGCAATTGTCCGTTAAACTAGCACAGCGCTGGATAGCAAAAAAATGTCGTAAATTGCAGTATCTATAACATAGTTTGTAGACGCTATAACTTTCACACAAAGCAATCAATATACACTTATTGGGATTTTTTTTTACCAAAAACATGTAGCAGAATACATTTTGGCCTAAATTTATAACTAACTTTGAGTTTACTATATTTTTTTTATAGCTGAAAGTAAAAAATATAATTTTTCTTCAAAACTTTTGGTCTTTTTTTGTTCATAGCATGAAAAATAAAAAGCGCACAGGTGATCAAATACCACCGAAAGAAAGCTCTATTTGTGTGAAAAAAGGACGTAAATTTTGTTTGGGTGCAGCATTGCATGACCGCGCAATTATCAGTTGAATTAGTGCAGCGCCGAGTAGCAAAAAGAGACCTGGTCATTAAGGGGGGTAAATCCTCAGGAGGGCAAGTGGTTAAAACATTTACACCATTCAAATGTCTTACTTGTCTGAGCATCTCATCACGTACTGTGCTTGAAGTCTTCTGTAGATATCTGCGGATTTTACACGTTCACAAGAAACTTCATCACCACATGCTGTTCCATACACACACTAATACTGTTGTCTGCCATATTTATTAACGGCCTCTGGACTGGCCTGAGACATGTGCACAACCTATCAGTAATAGGACACACGTGCCACTTTCTACTGCATGTAGTACCGCCATGCTAGAATCCCTTTTTACACCTGTAAAATTGGCCTCCCTGCACAATTCAAGGGATGTGAGCATGCATTCTCTTTGCGTATTTGTTTTATTGAATTACAGTATATTGTTATCTGTATTATTAATGTATGGCTGCTTTTGTATATACATAGTGAGGCCCTTTTCAAGTAGTTTTGCTCCTGAAGAAGCAAAACGCATAGACTTGCTGACATTGGACAAGCATGTTTGATCAATGGTGGATCTATACCATTTGAGTTTGTGCTACAGGGCATATTTGGTGTATTAATCCAGTGTCATCTCATTGCATATATATGGGGGATGTATGCTTCCTGTCTAAGGAGGCTTGCTATGTTTCTATGTCAACTTTTATTCCCGGGTTAATAAAGCTTATTATTTTCTGTTATATGTGTAGAAATCTTTTCATGCTGAGCTAGTGAAGTACGCCACATTAGGTTGGTTGGATTACATCCAGTGCACACCTTAATTTTCCTTTTCTAAATATTCATGGATGTGGCTTTTGGAAGTCCTATTTTCTCATATCTGTCCTGGTTTGACTTGAATGCCCCTCATAACTTGCGGGTATGGTGCACTTTCTAAAAGTGTACCAAAACTCCTGCATTCAAGAGGTTTAGTGCATTTGCAGAAAGCGCACCAAACCCGCAGGATATAATAGAAGTCTATGGCTTCACGCAGGTAACTAGCTAGTTAAAAAAACACGGATGCATTGCGCTGCACCTGCGGATCAGTGTAAAAGCAGCCTAATAGTTGTTAACCCTTTTATAGGTGCTAATATGCTCATTTAAAAAGTGCAGTGTAAGTGTTGTTTTTATACACTGACCTTCTTTTCCTCTTCCAGCTTTTGCTGCCATCACTATCCAGGCTGCTAGAAAGGTCCCAGGTGAATACTTGG